GGCTAAACATTAACCTTTATTTCTAAAAACAGGAGAACAATGTTACTTGAAAAATGTATCTAGAATTAATATTTACCACCATCAAATCCTGGATCTGGACACAATTTTTTTTTAGCAATACGGGGGAGAAGCGGAAGTGACATTTTTACAAATGAAATTAATTTCAACAAATTTATTTGAGATCATGTACAAGATTATTCATTATTAAAGACACCTTTTATAACCACTATTGCATATTCAAAAAAGCTTTAAATAAAAGTTTGTGAATATGACTGACTTTTTTTTAATATACCATAAAAACACGTATTCAGATTTCACGGAATACAACACAAATAAACTTTTTTAAATGGGATACCCTCTATGTTATTGTTATTATATTAAATTTCTGGGATATTTTTTTTCTAATTTCACAAATGTATATTATTGATAACCCTATCTTATACCGTCTGTTCTCGAGTAATTTAACGTTGATAATGTAAACATGAAAAAGTTAACATTATTAAAGTAAAAGCTATGAAAATCACAACTATTATGTTTGATAATAAAATAATCCAAATAGGTAGTTTACAGTGAGAAAGAAAAAGTGTTAATATTTATAAGATATTCGACATAGATTATCTATGATATTCGACGTTTAATTAATCAGGAAAGAATAAAGATCATTTCGAAAATTGAATAAAATATATATCTATGCTATCCTTATTAAAAAATATTCATGTTAAATCCTGTGAAATATGCACACCACTGATATGGTCATTTGATGACATTTTACAAAATTCGGTCAATGTAAACATTATACAATAATAATTATAGCATAAAGGGAGGCATGGGCGTCGTTACACAATTCTATAGGGGGGGGCATAATTTTGAAAAAATTTTTAGAATGTTTATTTGTTTGAAAACAAAGGAAATGAAAAATAAAAGAAAATTTTCTTATGATGGATTTAATTTTTCTGTGACGTCATGGCTTACTTACAGCTTTTCCAGAAATAACAGAAAATCGCAATTTATTTTTTATTTTTAAATGAAAAACATTTTTTTATTGAAAATTTTAATTTCTGGGACATTTTTGGGGCGTGTATTTAACATTTTCTGTAACATATTAAAAAAATATATTTTCCAATCATATTGGCCATATTGACCATCAGGTCATTTTTTTAGCTGACAGAAAATTTTCAACACATGATTCTTTTCCATAAATGTTCCCGAAATTCAAATTTTTAATAAAAAAGGGGGATTCTATTTAAAAATTAAAAATAAATTGAGATTTTCTGTTATTTCCGGAAAAACCGGAAGTAAGCCAGGACGTCACGTCAAAAGAAAGTGTTTGTTCCAGTTTTTCAAACAGAACAAAATTAATCAGATATCTCACTGAATAGTGAAGATAAGGGGAGTGGAACTTTAGTAGTAACCCTAACAATATCACTGACCCATTTGACAGAACTGATACTTAAGTTGTCATAACGAGTCTTTAATAAATAAAATAACGAAACAAAAAAGACAAAAACAAAATTAAAAAAAAAACAAGAAACTTAAAGTACATTTTTAAAAAACAAACAGAAGGTGTGATATAAAAGAAAAATATGAACATAATAATATTAAAAATAAAAATTTATAAGAAACAAAAACATAAAAAAACTCACTCAAATATGTCAATGAATGCAAAAAAAAAACACTAGGAAAACGCAAATTTTAAATTTCTTTTTTCTCTACTAAAAACATCGATAACGGAAAACATAATTTATTTTTCAGTCAGCCTATTTTCATTCATTATTCCCTCCGTGCGTGACAGCAACGCCAACTATTTTATAACTAACGGACGATATGTGCGTATACTGACAATTCAATTTTTAGAGTTCGTAATTAAGAAATATATATGTAAATTTTAATTTTAAAACAAATGAAAAAATTATTATTATTATATATTTTTGTTACTTTAGCTAAAAAAAGTCAATAAAAATCAATAATAAAACATAGGCAGGTATTTACATTTTCTCGTAAATAGAGATCTTGCCTGAGCATAATAAGTTATCATTGAAGAATAGGTTAAATAATGTCAAAATAAAAATATTACCATTATATAATAACGTAGAATTAAAACGTAATAACAAAAATAATTGGTATACTTGCGATTGTAATTTATATTTTCTTCATTTTTAGTTCGAAAGAACCCATAGAAATTAATGAATAAAACTGGTTTCCTATCAATAAGTCATAAGATTGCATGTCAGCCATATATAATAATTACAGGCAGAAATCTAATCATTTACTAAACTTTTAAGATTTAAGGGATGTTAAAGAATATCATAAAAAAATAATTGCTTAATTATTACAAAAATAAAGGTTTTTTGTTCTTATTATACAGCTGTCCATTTATTTCTTTTATTTAATTTCGATTTTGCTACTGAACATTCATATAATGTACAGTCTTTTGTCTATATAACTTGCAACATTTTATTGTGTTTACATATTTTTTTTAATAAAAAGTAAAATGTATACGTGTATTTGATATGCCAAAATTACAAAATATCGCCCTAAAATACTCGAATTATCCGCAGCTTGCGCTAGTATCGCTTTTACTTCCCCTACCATGACTTCGCACTGATCGAATAGACCGCAGCCATGTTTTAACATGCCTACATGCCTAAGTGTTCCAAACGTTCTTTCGATTAACTCTGTCGTTAGTGGAAGAGCCATAAATATTTTTTAAACCATTTTTTAAGTCTAAATAAAATTCACAATATTTGGACGCTATATCATCAATGGAGAGCTCATTGTGTGCAGAAAGCTCTTTCGTATTCCAGTTTAGTATTCAGCTTCAGAATTGTCGATTCCAAATTTTTCCACAACTTTCATTTTGTTATCGGTAGTGAAAAAAGTATTTTTTATGTTTTTGGGATGTACGTGCTTAACATGGGCGTCGTTACACAATTCTATAGGGGGGGCAAAATTTTGAAAAAATTTAAAATGTTTATTAGTTGAAAAACAGAGAAAATGAAAAATAAAAGAGCAATACAAATTAACAAAGGTTTTTAATAAATAAAATAACCCAACAAAAAAGACAAAAAATAAAAAAACACAAGAAACTTCAAACACATATTTTTAAAAAACAAATAGAAGGTGTGAGATAAAAGAAAAATATGAACAAGGAGACAGAGCCATACATAATATATAAAAAAAAATATTTATAGAAACACGAAAACAAAAAAACTCACTTAAACACGTCGACGAATACTAGGAAAACGTAAATTTTTAATTCCTTCTTCCTCTACCTAAAATAATCCATAACAGAAAACATGATTTCTTTTTAGTTTTTTGCCTATTTTCATTCATTATTCGCTCTGTGCATGACAGCAGCGCCAACTAATTTATGAACTAACGGACGATATTTGCGTATACTGACAATACAATTTTTAACGGGATTAAAAAATATATATGTTTATTTTAATAAAAGTATATAGATTTGTAAAATAAGTGAAAAAAATGAATTATTATATATTTTTATTAGGTACTTCAGCTAAAATAAAAGTAGTATAATCAATAATAAAACATAGGCAGGCTACGGTGATGTAAGTGTTACAGCGCGGCATTCATTTGTCAGCCAATTTTCTGGCAAAACGAGACACGCTTTCAGATCCTACGGAAGACCATGTAAATTTATTTGCATGGTTCTCTATAGGATTTGATGGATCCAGTATTAGTAGAAATTTAATTTTTGTTGATATGACATCCAAATTAATAAAATAAAATCAGCATGCATTACCGTTTACGATGATGGTGGGTGGGGTTTTCCGGGTTTTCCTCACCTGTAAGTCAAATGTCACCATTAATCATCTTTAAGTCGCCCGGCCCCGGCAAATAATAATAATAATAGCCGTCCCTTTCTCAGCACAAGCTTAGCTTTTGGGGTTAAAATTCACTCGTAATGGGGTGAATTAAGGAGAGTATTATTATTATTATATATTTACGAGAAAATGTTTATGTTGCCTAAGCCTAATAAGTTAACATTGAAGAAAAGGTTAAATAATGTGAAAACAAAAACATTACCATTATATAATAACGTAGTCTCAAAACGTATTAACAAAAATAATTGGTAAATTTGCGATTGTAATTCATATTTTCTTTATTTTTAGTTCGAAAGAACCCATAGAAATTAATGAATAAAATTGGTTTCCTATCAATAAGTCACAAGATTGCATTTCAGTCACATACAATAATTAAAGGCAGAAATCTAATCCTTGCTCAACATTTAAGAGTTAAGGGATGTTGAACAACATTGTAAAATAATAATTTATTGTTTATTTAAAACCTTTCAATTATCTAATGTCTACTATTTTCATTATTACTGTTATTATTACAATAATAAAGGTTTTTTCTTCTTATTGTACAGCTACCCATTAATTTTTGATTTAATTTCCATTTTGCTACTAAAAATTTATATAATTTACACTGTTTTTTCTGCTAGTATTTTTACAATTTACAACACAGCAACTATTATTGCTTTATCGCCTTGGAAAAATTTCGCTTGTGTTTGATTTTGTAGGTTTTATTGTGTTTTTTCGTGGTTTTTAGTAGCATTGCTGCATTTAGTTATTGTCAAGTCAATTAGTGTCAAAGTCATAATAAATATATCTTTTAATTTACTTCTCTCATTTACAAAGAATATTTTATTTCTGTGCTAATTTCACGTAATAATACGTCAATGCGCGTGCGCCTATACTTAATTTAGTACTAAAAATTGGTATCATTGCAAAAGAAAAAAAATATTTTTAGTTCTAAATTTAGTACTAAATTAATAACTTGATTTAGGGCTAAATTTTAGTACTTAATTTAGTATTGTGACATACAGCCATTACGCGTTGTATAGTCGTAAAAGCCAGGGGGGGGGGGCAACTGCCCCCCCTTGCCCCCCCCCCAAACGACGCCCATGAAGGGAGGGTAATTTATAATGAATAACCCTATTAGGTACCATAAATTTTCAGTAAAAAAATTTTAATTCGCACTTTTTTACGTAGATTAAAGAAAAATGTAATTTTGTGCGTTTTCTTGATGCAGACATTTTGCGACACACTGTATATTCAAATCCAAAATGATGTATTTTCTTTTACACATACCTAATACAAATTTATTAGCAAAATTTAAATACTTGTTATTTTTGGTATATTTCTCCTTTAGACACACATTTTTAGTTTCATTGTCAAAAGATTTAAATAAAATTACCGGACCTTATAATATTCTATTATAATTTGATGATCCCGAGTGGCCATAGCAAAAAGACGAAATTTGAGCATGAAGATTTAGATGTCATTAACGTAAAATTAATGTTTTGAAATTAATTTAAGTTTTACCAATTTAGAAAATAAAATTAAATAATAAAAAAAAAGTGTCCACTCGGGGGTTTGAACTCGGAACCTTTCGATTCGTAGACAAGTACTCTAAATTTTCGTTATGAGGACTTATGAAAAAGTTTTACTTTTTAACGCTGATAATCAGACTGCTTTTAGTTTCATTAAAATCTCAGTTTATTTCTAAATATAGACGAATATCTTGTGGAATGCTATTATTTATTGATTCTTTACAAGAATCACTAATTTTTATTTATATTTAATCTAAATAACTAAAAAAATATATACTGACAATTAATTTGACGGAATTGTCACTTATAAAGTTCTAACATCTGACGTAGAGGGCGTATCTAACCAGTAAATAAAATCGTTAGTTCAATGATTGTACCAATAGATGTCAGGCGCGATTGTCTCCAATAACTTTTACATGGCGATTATCCTACTATAGTTCTTTATACAATGATAGAACCATATCACACCAAAATCTCGATTTTGGCAAAATGAACACTTAGCTAATATTTTCGTTACTAAATGCTCAAAAAGTTCTCCACTGATTTCTTGACAAAAGAGGTATATTTTCAGTTGATTTCTTTAGTGTATTTCACATTTTAATTAAGTCAAATACCAAATACGTATATTTAAAATTATTTATAATTAAGACCTTTGAATAGAAAATTAAACACCCTTTTAAATGAGTCCTGTTATCATTTAAAATTTTCAAAGGGGTAACCTGCGCAAGGAGTTGAAATTGGGGTAAATTGTTTATTGCATAAATGGGCTTCATCCTAAGCCACCCTTGCTCTACGTCCTCACTGTTTAGTATCTATTTAATTTTACTTTCCAAATTTAGTCCAAAGATGCCTGAAAATATTAATACCATCCACATACAAGTTGAGAACAGCAAAAATGAACTCTTGATGGGAAATAGAATACATATGTGTTCCGTGCTTTCCTCCCATCATTATTTGGGTATCGTACACAAGATAAAGTGAGAAAAACATGGATAGAAATATAGCTTCTGCCAGGGGCAACATAATGTTCAAATCAATAAAAATTGTAACGAATATTAAGATGACCAACTCCAAGAAGCCTACCAAAAGTACCCCTGCTATCAAGGTGAAATTATATTTCGTTTTTAAAACAAAAGAGGTGATTCCCAAGCAAATCACTACTGTAATTCCCACGGCCATAGGTATGGCGGCTGAATCGTGCTTAGCAGTCAAACAACCCAAAAAGAAACTTAAAGCTAAAGTCAATATGAACAAAAAGTAATAATTGCTGGGTGAATTTCTACGCCTTTTATCGCAAAAAGCTACAGCTATGACACTGACGACTAGGATGATCACTGAGACGTAGAATATTGCAACGTAGTCTTTGACAGTTTGTTTGGTCCATTGGTGAAAAAAGAACCATAATATAATCATTAGAATTACGGCGAGCTGTACCGATAAAATCGAGAAGACCATTTTAATGAAACCTCTTCTAATGGCTTGATCGTTGAAATCGACGACTGTAACTGCTCCGAAACCAGAAGTGAAACCATAGTTACCTGCAAAAATTAGAAGTTAGATACAGCGTCACACTAGAGAGAACGCGCTTGTCTTAACAATTTACAACAATTTTGTTAAATTTGAACCATGCTGTGGTGGTGAAGTTGCTTAAACTCAAAATTTAAGTTGAAAATCAAGATGTAATTTTTTTTTAGTGATTATAAGATAGAAAAGAATAAAAATGTCTGAAGGTTTTTAAGATTGTCAACCGGAGGGAAATTTCCCGTTTTGCGGGAATTATCAACACAAAAAGGAAAAGTAAACTCAAAACAGGAATTTTTTTAGTTCAGTCCAAATTGTAAAAAATGTATGATTTTAAAAATTAATAAAATTAAAATTGTATTCTTTAATATATTTTTAAAGTTTTGTTAAAAGATTTGTTTTTTAGATTATACTTTTTATACTTTGTTATGTAAATTCGTTTTCTTTTAATAAATATTTTTTGGATAATATGTATATGCTTGTATTTCTGGTATAAAACCGATTTTGTTAACGGGACGGAATTTTTTCATAAAAGTAGGAATTTTTTAAGGTAAGAAGCAAAAAGCTTACTTCAAGGCTGGCAACACTGCTCGCCAGTCACCTTTTGATCTCCGAAGAAGTCATATCGTTCCCAAGTCTAAGTTCAACGCGTTGTCAATGACAAGTGACGGCGACTTTTTTATCACAAAAATACAGCTCTGAACGATAATATTTTCAGAAATTGTTTTTAAAAATGAGTTCAAAGTACGGTAAAGAATGGTAGAGTCTATAGTTTGTTTTACTTTTAATGCAAAATTTTTTAATAAGTCATATTTAACAAATATTTAGAAGTTATGGACTTTCCGCCATTTTTTATACTATTTAAAAGCTTAAACGCAAAATAAACTCTTTTATTTTTGCACTAATTATTTCAGCTAATTCGAGGCATACGTTTTATTAGACTCATCGTGTTACGTATTTGTTGACATGAGATAGAAATTTAAAGTGACGTCTTGTATTACTTCGAATGAAAAATCGTTTTCTAACCTAAGAAAAAAGTTGAGTTGAGTCTTAACGATTACTCATAACTGTAACTACAGGGCAATTTGTATCGTACCCTCTGGATTAACTAGAGGTGCAAAGCAACTACTACTAGCACGTAGTACTTAATTTCTTAACTCAAGTAATAATTATTTGGTTTACAAAAGTCTGTGGCAACAAAAACTACGTTTAGATGCCAAATACTCAAAAAAAGGTGTTTTCTCCTTTACATTAAGTGTACATATATGTAAATAAAAAGTGTACATGTTCCAGTTAGTAAGTGGATTAAAAGGAATTACCTGTTATCAGTATTTAATTTTCATGGATAAGAATAATTTTGAGGTAATCTACAGAGTTCACCTGTACCGGCCTTAACCAATGATATTTACAGGAGGCGAAACCCTCACCGTATACACTTTCCTGATAACGAAATTTTTTATATTTAGTAAAAAGAAAGAAAAAAGTTTCTCCTGAAAATTAACATTTAGTAACTTAGGCTACTTTTGCATCCAAGTGACGATACAGGATATTTAGTTACAGCGAGACTGCCTTTGTCGTTGTTTTTAAATGACTCACCCTATATATTTTTTCTTGATTTTAACGTAAAATTACTGTTTTTGAATTCTGCGACGTTTTGTTAACATATTGCAAAAAATGTGAGAATTTACTGAAAAATTGTTTATAACAAGTATTATTAAAAAGCCAAGCCAGAAAAAATAATAAATAAAAACGAACCAGAGAACGGTACTTGTTCACCAACTGTATCGCCACTACCAGAAGTAAGAGGCTGTATAAAACCAGTTGCACAAGAATAACTTGGTGGTGGGTATTCTTCAGGTGGCGGAGCAGTGGGGCAGTCTCCTTGAGGGGGGTAGCCGCTTTGATGATGTTGAGGAGAGTTGCCATCTTTAGCGGGATACTCTGACTTTGGAGGTGGATAGCCAGGTTGACCATCCTCGGGAACCTGATTAGGATCTAATGAACAGAAATGTTAAAACAGCTATTTATGAAACCGAGGTCCCGCAACATGAACGAGTTACATAAAACAGCATTTCGTAACGTGTTACATACAATATTTTTTCTAATTTTGACTAAAATTATGTTTTGGTTAAACATTACTGACATTTAGGCAACCAGTATTACTTTCTTCTATTGTTAGTTGCATATGCAACAGCTTATTGACAATTAGTACCACGATTAGAACATCATTATTAAATACTTATTCTCAACAACTTGTTTGTGTTTATATTGTTTACTATAGTTATTTAATTTTTAAATAATTAAGTTATTTTGTCGTGTATTGTTTTTTAATTATTTTGTGCTGATTTGCAATGACAAATGAGGATCAAAACAACATTATAATACTGAGTTCTAAGTTTAACCAAAAATAATGTAGGTATATTTTAAAAAAGGTTTACTTTATTTGTTTTCTTTTTGCAACTGGTGACGTTAAGAATTTTTCGAAATCAGTTTCATAATGTTCAACATTATGCAACTGGTTGCGTAAAGTAGATCATTTTGACACTTACTTAATATGTCAAAATTAGAAAAAATTGTTTTTACAATTTCTATCCGTAAGAATTTCTTATATGTTCTGATATGGTTATCATATACTTTAACAATAAAAAACTGCAACAAAATGATACAATATAGAGATAGAAAACTTAAAAAAAGTAGCACGTATTTATTATATGATAAAAACACAGAATCATAGAAAAAAATATTATACTAATACGATTTCCTCAATGAGTATTGCAATTTTCACTTTTAAAAATCAGTCAAAGTTTTTTTTTTTAATTTAATTTTTCTCAATTATAGCTGTAGTTATCGGTTCAAAGTGACATTCGACATTTTATTATCTCAAGGAAATTTTTAAATAAACAGATCCCATCAAAAAGAAAAAATATCTGAGTCCAACACATGACTTTTCAGTAAAGTCGTCAAATATAATATTGAGTACGGGCCATCATCTAATCAAAAAGTGTTTAAAATATTAATTAAGGATACAAATTTTTTCTACACCCTTATCTACGCACAGATTACAAAACGAAAAAGTATGCTATTGCCTTGAACCGAATGAATATATTTCATATCCATTCTAGGTAGTGAGAACACTGCAAAAAAATTAAATCCACCAATCACAGTTAATATTTTGATCAACCGACTGCTATTAATTTTTAAATTTTAAATAAGTGACAATTCTGTCAAACTAATTGTCAGTATATTTTTTAGTTATCGAGATTAAACATACATTAATAGTACATTATAGGTATATATAGAATTTTTTTTTACTACTAACATTAATATATTAGCAATTTTAATTTTGACATAAGTAATTTCCTAACAATTTGTTAAATATTTCGAAATATCAAGCAGAGTGGAGCGTGTTTCTAATCAGACTGGCTTTATTTATGTAAAAATTTGGCATGTGTCAAATTTTGATATGATTCTAGGAAATATCCCATTGCATTTTTGATATTTTAGTGACATGGATTTATTGGTATTAATTAATAATTTTTGAAGCCTATTGCCGGTGTTGAATTTCCTAGTTAATATATATTTTTGTGCTTTTGGTTAAAATTACGTTAACAAGTGTTTCTGTTAATTTCGTTAAGAATATAGAATTTTTCTCATTATTTACCTAGGTGTTTTTTTATTATCATTATTTACCTAGGGTGAGAAATATTACTTCTCGTTAGGGGAATGGAGTGAATAATAGCAATTTCTCAGGTTAGTAGTAAAAAAATAAGTTATTGTGCAGAATCGATAAATAATAGAATTTATATTTTTATTTCGTCTATAATCCTACTAATATACAGGGTGTATCTAAATAACACCGAAAAAATTAAAGGGGTGATTCTGTGATGAAAATTAATGTGAGTGTTTGGTATAAAATTTTCTGAAAAAACCCTCCCCGGAAAAGTTACACCCCTTCAAAAATTAAAAAAAATAATGGTTTTTCTTTTTTATTTTCCCTGTATATCAAGCTAAAGACACGAAACTTGGTAAACATTATCTGTCAATAAAAGTACACTTTTTGAAATTTTTTCAACCCTGAAGTATGCTTAGAAGGGGTTGAAATAATCAACCCCTAAGATATTTTTACTTACAACTTTTTTTTAGATGAAATTTTTTTCTTTAAAAAAGTATGACTGAAAAGCCCAATTCATTGACTAACTTTTTTATCTCTACAAGTTTTTTTCGAAAACTTAAGCATTTATGAGAAAAAAATAAATAAGCTCATATAAAATAGCATTTTATTAAACAACAGCCAACCAAATTATGATTCTTAAGACTTCTACAACTAAAAACAAAAGTGAACAAACAATGAACAAAAACCTGTCGAATATCGACAATACAATTATAATAAATGTTGAAAATGACCGCCTTCAGCTTCAATACAAGCATCTACCCTTTTCCTCATAGAATTGCGTATACGATGAAATATTACTGGAGAATTTCTTATAGTTTCACACCCTGCTACAATGCGGTTTCGCAGATCATCGATATTTTCAACTGGGTTTGTGTATATCAAAGATTTCAGATATCCCCATATGCAAAAATCCAAAGGATTAAGATCAGGGGAGCGGGCTGGCCAATTTACAGGTCCTCCTCGACCTATCCACTGATTGGCATACACCTCATCCAGGTGAGTTCTTGCACGTATACTAAAATGAGCTGGTGCACCATCGTGCATAAACCATAAATGTTGCCTAATTTGAATGGGAGCCTCTTCAAGAAGAACAGGTAATTCTTCAAGGAGATGACAATAGGCTTCACCATTTAATCGTAGCGGAAGAAAATGGGGACCAATTAAATGATTATCAATAATTCCGAGCCACACGTTTAATGAAAATTGATACTGATGATTTCCTTCAAAAAAGCCATGAGGATTTTCGTCAGCCCAAAGGTGATTGTTGTGAAAATTTCTAATACAGTCTCTTGAGAAACTCGCCTCGTCAGTAAATAAAATATTACCTAAGAACTGTGGTGCTTGGCCAATCATATTAATAAGCCACTGACACAAAATCACACGGGGTAAAACATCTCGAATCATTAACGCCTGCACCCGTTGAAGATGATGGGGATACAACATTTGTTCTTTTAAAATTCTAAAAACAACGGAATGGCTTGCATGTAGGACACGAGCTATTCTCCTGGTACTAGTTTCTAGGAATTCTTCAATTGAATTAAGTACGGCTTATTCTACAGCTGCAGTTCTAACTTCTCTACTACGACCAGAATCAAAACTTCTTTTTTCAAAATTACCACGTTCCCGCAAGCGTCGGTGAATAGTTGTGAACGTAGTATGATGGGGTAGTCTACGCTGTGGGTACTGTTCAGCATAAAGTCTTTGCGCTTCCAATGAATTACCGTTAGCACGACCGTATGTAAAATGCATATCTGCCATTTCCAAATTCGAATATGCATTCATATTTTCAATCAACTAATATTTCCTACAATACACAATCATAAAACTTGTGAAACAATAAGATGGGTAACAGAAAATGACACTACACAATCCTGGTATCAGTATTAATATTTTTATGCAAAGCACAGGCCACTAGACTTGACGCAAAATACACTCGCGTTAGCTCATCTTTTTGAAAATGTATTGCATTAGATTTTTTTCTCGTAAATGCTCAAGTTTTAGAAAAAACTTGTAGAGTTAAAAAAGTTAGTCAATGAATTGGGCTTTTCAGTCATACTTTTTTAAAGAAAAAATTTTCATCTAAAAAAAAGTTGTAAGAAAAAATATCTTAGGGGTTGATTATTTCCACCCCTTCTAAGCATACTTCAGGGTTGAAAAAATTTCAAAAAGTGTACTTTTATTGACAGATAATGTTTACCAAGTTTCGTGTCTTTAGCTTGATATACAGGGAAAATAAAAAAGAAAAACCATTATTTTTTTTAATTTTCGAAGGGGTGTAACTTTTCCGGGGAGGGTTTTTTCAAAAAACACTCTCATTAATTTTCATCACAGAATCTCCCCTTTAATTTTTTCGTTGTTATTTAGATACACCCTGTATAAATGCGAAAGTTTGGATGTATGGATGGATGTTTGTTGCTCAACCACGTCAGAACGGCTGAACGAATCTGGATGAAATTTGGCACAAAGATAGATTATAGTCTGGTTATAGACCGGAAAATGTACGGTTCCCGTGGGATAGATTTGTTTTTGTTTTTCACAGGGCAAAGGATCAGACATGATTTTTGCATAGTGGTAGTGAAACATGAAAATTTGAAATACAGCTACTGAGCATAAATAAATAATGACGTGTTTCAGGGTTTTTGGATTTTTACATTTTAAAGGCGGGAAATGGAGATTAAAAGTTTGCATGGAAGTATCAATTTTTTAAAGGTAGGAACTTAAAAAACAAATAAATAAAGGTGTTTTTCAGGGTGTTTGAATTTTTATATTTTAAGAGTGGAAAGGGGAAGAAGCAGGAAATGGGAGGAAAGTGCGAAAAGGAAGGAAAGGGGGGAAAGAGAGGAAAAGGAGAAAAGAAAGAAACATAATAAAAGGGGGGAAAGGGGGTGAAAGTTTGTATGGAGGTATCAAATTTCTAAAGGTAAGAACTAGAAAATTGGAAATGAAGCTACTTATCATAAATAAATATGTTTATGGGGTATTTGGATTTTTACATATTAAGGGGGGAAACGGGTGGTGAAAGTTTATATGAAACTTTCGGTTTTTTTAAAGGTAGAAATCTAAAAATTGGAATTGTAGCTACTCATCATGCATACCAGCCAGGAAAGTCAACTGACCTAGCGCTGGACGATCTAAACAGGCTGCTTTCAAAGTCAATAGATGACAAAGAAATCGCAATAGCCACTTTCTTAGATATCGAAGAAGCTTTCAACAATGCCTCAACCAGGTCAATAACCAAAGCTCTAGAAGAGAGAAACGTCCCAGTTACAATATGCCAATGGATCACTGCCTGTCTAGAGAACAGGATTATTTTATCCACTCTA